CCACACTGTCAGCACAGCGCGTGATGCGGGCCTCAAGCTCAAACTCATGAAACCATGAGATCAGGACCTGAGCGGAAATCAAGAGTGGGACACTTTACTGACTTCGCCACCCAAGCGCCCCTGGAGGCATCTTCTAAAGATGGAACTCCTGATGCCGCCAGGAGCATGTGGGGAGGGCACAGGACTGGAGAGACCACAGGCTGTCCTGAAGGTGTCCCACGGAGGGGTGCGCTCCCTGCTGGACAGGGGTCCCCTGCCTACTTGGCCCCAGCCTGCCCTCTGCAACCCTGCGGGATAAGCTCCCAGTTGAGGAGAAAGGCCTGCCCCCATCCCTGCCCGGGAGCACCTTCCGTCTCCTGGTCGGAGTCTGAATCAACTTCCGAACGCTGTTCGGCCTCCGGAGCTCCTGCAAGATGCCCAGCGGCCGCCGCCTCCTCCTCCTCCTCCTCCTCTTCCTCCTCCTCCTCCTCCTCCTCCTCCTCCTCCTCCTCCTCCTCCTCCTCGCCTTCATTCTCCCCAGGCCTCTTGTAGGGACCCCTCATAGTTACGCCCATTTCTCAGTGTCAGCAATGAGGCGGAGACTGCACCGCACAGCAACTCGAGCCCTTCCCCGGGGATGTGGGCGGACCCTCCGTCTGCGCCGATCAATTGGCTATGCCGTGCAGCGAACAGGCGTCCGCTGCAGCCAATAGGAACGCTCCCCTCCCGACAGCCGTCGTCTGGGCAACCCAGGTGTTGTGGGTTGCTATAGAAACCGTCGCTGGACTGGGTAGACCTTTAGCCTGCTGACAAGCTGAGCGGATGAGAGCGTGCTCCGCGGTTTCAGCATCGGTCCCCCTTCCCCGCCTTCCACGGACTGGGGAACGTGGCTGACTCCAGAGTCTGTGCCTTAGTCCCTGCGCTCTGCGGGCGCACGGCACGAGAAAGCCTGGGGAGCCTTGCAAAGCCCCATCACCCTCCTCTCTGGAGCCAGAGTCACGCTCTCACCGTATGGCTGCCAGTTCTCTCTCATGCTCTGGCGTCTCATATGCTATTTCCTCCACCAGGAACATTCCTCTCCAAGTTTCCTTGTTGAACTTCAGAATCTGCAAGCGTCACTTCAGAGATCACTTTTTTCCTGAAGTTTTTCTTCCTTTCTTTTTTTTCTTTTATTAATTGTTTTGACGTTTACTTATTTTGGAGAGACAGAGAGAGACAGCGTGAGCAGGGGAGGGGCAGAGAAGGAGGGAGACACAGAATCTGAAGCAGGTTCCAGGCTCTGAGCTGTCAGCACAGAGCCCGACGCGGGGCTTGAACTCACAAACCGCAAGATCATGACCTGAGCCCAAGCCGGACGCTTAACCGGCTAAGCCACCCAGGCGCCCCTTTCCTGAGGTTTTTCTTGACCCCTCCTCTGGGCTCCTGCAGTCCTCATGCTGCCCTCTCACAGTACCTATGACACTTGTCATTTCCTCCTCCTTCTCTCCCCCAAGGAAGTGAGGCCAGAGGGCAGGTTGCAGGGGCTGCTCCTCTCTGCCTGGCCCTGGGCCCCTGCAGAGGGAGAGGGTGGCAGGCCCTGGGCAGCTGGTGGTTGGGACTAAACCCAGGGCTGAGGGGTGGAGGCTGGAACCTGTCCCAGTGGAAGTGTCCCTTTAATAGCTGCTGGCCCGCCGGCTTGGACGCCTGCTTTACCTCCTATTCAGCTGTGGCTGCAGCTGCTGTGCTGACTCATGTGCCCCAGCAGACAGCAGGAGCTGGAAGCATGGGCTCCCCGGGGGCCCTGGCGGGCTGGGGGCTTCTGGATTACAAAACGGAGAAGTATGTGATAACCAGGAACTGGCGGGTGGGCGCCCTGCAGAGGTTGCTGCAGCTCGGGGTCATGGCCTACGTGGTGGGGTAAGAGAATGGCTCCTGGGCCACACTGGCTGGAGGGATAATGACTCTTAGTCCTGGGCTGAGGGTTGAGGGTTTGACTCTTCAGGGGCTGAGCTGGTGGTAGCAGAGGGGAGCGGGTGGGAACAGGGGAGCAAGTAGGCAGAAGGGAGGATCTTTGTCTGTCTGGAGGTCAGTGGATACAAGAGCAAGCTGTATGCTTGTGTACTCCTTCCTGTGTGTCCACCTGCCTCCTCTCCTGTGCCTTGTTGCCAGGCCCATATTGAGCTCTGCACACAGAGCAAGATGGGCCCCCGCCCATACCCAGGAGGCCCCTGGTGGGGTAGGAAGTAGCTCCTGGTGTTTGGGAGAGCTGCAGCACTAAGGTCCCCGATAGAGACCACCAATTTTAGCTGGGTCGGGGGAGTCTTTAAGGAGGAGTTGGGCCTAGCCAGGACAGGAGGAGGGTGTTGGCCGGTGAAGGAGGAGGTGATGGGCATCTCCAAGCCCATGGGTGCCATGAAAGACTGGCTCTCTGATCATGGTTGGAGCTTCTGATCTGTGCAGGGTGTTTGGGGTGGAAAATGAGGCTGGAGGGGAGCTAGGGGCCCTGAATCCTGGGTTGGGAGCCTGCAGGGTGTATGAGGAGAGAGGCTGAGAGGGTGGGTCCCACTTGCTTACCATGGGCCAGGGACGTGCCACACTGCCCATCAATTCTTCCTAAGGTGGGCTCTCCTCACCAAAAAAGGCTACCAGGAGCGAGACCTGGACCCCCAGATTTCCGTCATCACCAAACTCAAAGGGGTTTCTGTGACCCAGATCGAGGAGCTGGGTAACCGACTGTGGGATGTGGCAGACTTCGTGAAGCCACCACAGGTAGGTGCCGTGGTTCTGCTGCTAGGCAGTGACACCTCTGATACCACCCTTGCAGAGAATGTGTGTGAGAGAGGCATGTGATGCCAGAGCAGGGTGCTGGCACCGTCATAGGGCCGGGCTTGGGAAGAGCCTTACAGAGGAGTGGTGCCTGGATAGGGCTTTCTGGGATGTGTAAGGAGTGTCTAGGAGGACAAGGGGACAGACCAGGAAGCCAGGCCAGAGGAACAGCCTTTACAGAGGCTGTACTTAGAAGAGTGGAAAGTTTAGGAACTCAAGGCTTGAGCTTGAGGGTGGGGCAGGAGAAGCTTGGGGAACCAGGGCCTTGAGCTTCCTGAATGCTCCCCTCCCTGACCTGGGACACTCCTCCTCTGGCCCTCCCACGAGGCATTTCTGGCTCCTCCCTTTACCCAGATTGCCCACAGCCTCAGTTTCTACCTTTATCCTGCCAGTGCCAAAACTGTAACCCCAGTGACCACCTGCCTCTAGCACAGCTGCCTCCTGGGTACACACCCACCACGTCCATAGAAAAATCATCTCCCTCTCCCAGTGTGGCCTCTCTTCATCCAATGAGGGCCAAAGCTGGACCTGTCCCTCCCTCTGACCATCCCACCTCCTAGTAGTTTTCACCGCTGCCTGTGTCGTACCTGTATGAGGCCGTGACCTTCTAGTGGGTAGTGGGTCCCCGGATGCACTCTACCCAGCAGCCAGCCTGAGCTGTCCTATATGTTATCAATCAGAGCTTGACAACCCTTGTTTCCACCCCGGGGAGACTTCCTTTCCATAGTGGTGGCCACCGAGTCCCTCCAGATCCTGACCGCTGTCACACCTGCTGCCTCCTCTCTTTCCTGGGTGTGCATTGCCCCAAACTTTCAGAACTCACACACACGGCGCTTGGATGCCAGCCACCCTGCCTGTCCTTAGCCACCGTTTGCCCAGGCAGAGTTCACCGCCTGCTCCACTGGCCCCTGACCATGTGTGCAACGAGGGGCCCGCCTCCCGACTAGCCTGGGCAGGCTCCTGGTCCAACTCAGCTCTGGATCTTCAGTGCCTGGAAGCAGGAGGCAATTGGAAAATTCTGGTTGAAGGAATGAATACAAACATGGAAGATACACTTGTCTCAAAGAGGCAGCTGTGGGCTTAGAAAAGGCCAGAAACCCAGCTGGCCTCTCTTCTCTATTTCAACTTGCCTCACTGGAGGCGCTCTCCTGGGGCAGAGTTGATGACTTGATGGGGCCAGGACCCCTTTCCCCACAAGCCAAGCTGCCAGCTTCTGGCCTCTCTCTTTTGGAGAGGGAAGCAGAGACTGACTCTGACACTTGCTTTCTAGGGAGAGAATGTGTTCTTCTTGGTGACCAATTTTCTTGTGACGCCAGAACAAGTTCAGGACAGATGTCCAGAGGTAAGGTTGCTCAGGAGCTTCCCAGCGGGTCCCTAGTTCCTCTGCCAGACCTGGGTCACCAGCCATGTCCTCCGCTCGCCTTCCCAGGTAACTGAGGGCTTAGTATATATATGCTACTGTATCCCAGGCACTGAGCGAAAACCTTTTAGTGAATCATTCCATTTAGTCTTCACAAATACCTTGCCTGGTAGGAATCACTAATGATCCAGGAGCACCTGGATGGCTCAGTCCGGTAAGCGTCCTACTTCGGCTCAGGTTATGATCTCACAGTTTGTGAGTTCGAGCCCCACGTCAGGCTCTGTGCTGACAGCTCAGACCCTGGAGCCTGCTTCAGATCCTGTGTCTCCCTCTCTGCCTCTCCCCCGTTCACACTCTGCGTGTGTATGTCTCTCTCTCTCTCTCTCTCAAAAATAAATAAACGTTTACAAAAAATTTTTAAAAAGGAATTACTATGATCCCATTTAAGATGAGAATCTCAGTAAGGTAGAGTCACATGTTCAAGGCCGCCCAGTCTCTGGTCCTCCAAGCAGTCTTCTGGAGTCTTCCACTGTAGCCGCCTGTGAGATATCCAGGCCCCTTCCCTTCCTGGTCCCACCTCTGGGCACCTTCCAGTTTGTCAGAACTGGGTATAAGACTCAGGTGAGCTCTAATAGAGCCCTTCCTCTCTTGTATGCACAGACTCTATTAATGTGTCCCAAGTCAGCTTCCATTTTTGTGGGCAAGCACGAAAACACCAGCTTGTGCTGACCTGAGGGTCACTTATGATCTCTGGGCATTAAAAAAAAAATTTTTTTAACGTTTTATTTATTTTTGAGAGAGAGAGAAAGACAGAGTGCGAGTGGGGGAGGGGCAGAGAGAGAAGGAGACACAGAATCTGAAGCAGGCTCCAGGCTCTGAGCTGTCAGCACAGAGCCCGATGCGGGGCTTGAACTCACGGACCGCGAGTTCATGACCTGAGCTCCACTCAGACACTTAACCGACTGAGCCACTCAGGTGTCCCAGGCAGTTTTTACAACTGTGGTCACACCAGAGTCGCTCATCCTATTCTTGTCTATTTCTCATCCAGAATTGCAGGTTTTCCACCTAAAATCTCCCCATTGTCCCTTGCCTAAGGGTGACCCATGGATCCAGCGTCTGTCACAGTGCACAGTGCTCTTCTCTCCAGTTATGGGGTTTTTTTTTCCCTCAAATTTGTGTGTGTGTGTGATAAAATACATGTAACATAAAATTTACCATCTTACCCATTAAAGAATTTTTTTTGTTTACTTTTGAGAGAGAGAGCAAGCAGGGGAGGGGCAGAGAGAGAGGGAAAGAGAGAGAGAGAATCCCAAACAGGCTCCATGCTGTCAGCTCAGAGCCCAATGTAGGGCTTGAATTCAAACCTCGAGACCATGACCTGAGCTGAAACCAAGAGTCGGACACTTAACTGACTGAGCCACCCAGGTGCCCCGCATCTTACCCGTTTTTAAGTGTATGGTTCTCCAACTGTGGATTTTATTTGAGCAGTTGGGACTCAGGACATAGCCTTGGAAGCCTACTTCCATGGTAACAGCTTTTTAAAATCACCTCTAACACGGGACACCTGGGTGGCTCAGTGGGTTAAGCATCGACGACTCTTGGTTTCGGCCCACATCATGATCTCACAGTTTGTAAGTCTGAGTCCTGCATTGGGCTCCATGCTGACAGTGAGGAGCCTGCTCGTGATTCTCTCTCTCCCCCTCTCTCTGCCCCTCCGCTGATTGCTCGCTCTCTCAAAGTAAATAAACTTAAACAAACAATTTTTAAATCACATCTAACATTTAATTGCTTGCAGGGCTGGGGAGTAACTGTGTGGTCACCTGTCCCCTGTGTCCTGATTGTTGGTGCCACCACAGTTGCTGGAGGCATCACATGTCCTAGGTTGGCTCTGTCCACAAAGGATGTGAAGCATGTGCACAAAGGATGTGCTTACACACGGCAAACATACACGATGTCCTTCATTTTCTAAATGCTCAGAGGACATCTGATTAATGTTCAGGCTGTAGGCTGTCCTGAAAATTTCCTGAAGCCATCATTCTGTGTTTTCTGGATCCATGTGATTTGCCTCATGTCCCGGCTTCTAGGTCTTCCTATGAAACTACTGGAGCTGGGAAGTAATCAGATCTGACAACATGGCTTCTGGAGACTCACCAGAGATCCCGCCAGCTCTTCTCGGCGGTCCTGGTCATCCGGTCCTTCCCGACATATTGGCTGTGCTCCTTGGAGACTCACAGCCTTTAGCAAACAACTGCTGAGCCTCTTGGGGGCCAGGCCTGATGCTGGACTTGCAAGACTCCACCCCCTTTTATCTCAAGGAGCTCCTGCACAGGCAGCCCAGCCAAGGTGGCCGGTCCCGTGATGGGGGCAGAGGCTGCAGCTGCAGACCCAGGGAGGCATGTCTGCCAGCTCAGGGCCTCAGGAAGGGTTTCCCACAGAACTCAAGGCTCAAGTGGGATCTTGAGACGGTCCAGGCAGAGGGAGCTGTATGAGCAAAGGGCCCAAGCTATGTGAGATGAGGCACCTCCAGGGTCACCTGCTGCTGAGTGGGGTTGGAGCCTAGATTTGGATTCAGGTGGCAAGGGGGTAGCCCAAGACCTCAGGGGCCCTGTGAACTCTGCGAAAGAGCTAAACTTGATCACAGGAGCATGGCAGAACTAGGGATGGTCTCTGCTGAATGAATGAGGCAGATGATGCAGAGAGCGGCCCCGTGGTGGTTATCATGAGGTTCGATTGGAGGAGACGGTGGCCCAGCCAGGGTGGAGGGGAGGGGCGGACTCAGGACACAGGAGGCCCCACTCTGTCCTCTGCCCACGTATCACGGTCCCAACCCCACACAGTCCCACTGTCTCGTTTGGCTTGGAGTCCCCAAGTCCTTCTTGCCACCCTGGCACACCGCTCCTCCTTCTGCTCCTGAGCCAGGTAACCTGGACAATGGTGCTCACTGTCAGCCTGGGGCAGAGCTGTGTCTGAGAGCGTGCCTTCCTCTTTGGGGGGTGTAGGACCCCCAGAAAGTTTGCTAGTCCCCCCTTCTGACTGATCGCCAGAACGCTTTGCCCAAGAATAAGTAGGGGAGGGACTAGCCTATGGTCCCTCAGCAAGTGTGTGTGGTCCTGCCACTTCCCTACCCAGCCCCCTCCAACTAGGTCCCTGCCCTTTGTTCACCGTGCCCCACCCCTCCACTCTGGCATGAACTAGCCCTTCCCAGAGTCCCTTCACCTTCCCTGTTCTGTTGTCTGAGGTGGACCAGAGGATCTGGGCCTCCGGCCAGGAGAGAGCTATCAGGAAGGAAGGAGGCTTGCTCTGCCTTGGAATACAGCACCTGCACCCCTATCTGGCGGGGGGTGGGGGGTGGCGGTGCTTGCCACCTTCCTCCTCCAACCACCTCCTTTTATTTTTACCCTCCAGCTTTGCCATGTGCCCCCGAACTCAGGGACCTCTATGCAGCTAAGGCAGGGAGGGCTGTGTCCCTGCAGACTGCAAGACTGGGTCACAGAGGGGAAACAGTCCCCGAGCCCTTGGCCACTTTGCTTTCCCTACCTCAGCACCCTTCCATCCCGCTGGCTAACTGCTGGGCTGATGAGGACTGTCCAGAAGGGGAGACGGGGACACACAGCCACGGTTGGTAACTGTGGGCCCTGTCTTCCATGGGCTCCCCTGGGTGGGGGCTCCAGGGCCCGGGCTGGGACCCTGGGTGGTTCGTGAGGGCAGGCCTGGTGGTGCCTCTGCATCTCTCCTTTCTGTCAGTGGCCCCCTGCCCTGTCTCATCCCCTGGCCCTGTGGAGATTTGAGGGCCTGGTGTTTGTTTTGTATTCTCAAGGCATGAAAACGGGCCAATGTGTGGAATTCAACGGGACCCACAGGACCTGTGAGATCCAGGGCTGGTGCCCCGTGGAGAGCGGCACTGTGCCCATGTAAGTCTCTCCACCCACCCCCACCCACCTCCAGGACAAGGCCCCAGAACCCAGGAGTCTGCCCTTCACTTCTTTACCAGCAGGAAGCCCCTACTGGTCCAGGCAGAGAACTTCACCCTGTTCATCAAGAACACTGTCACCTTCAGCAAGTTCAACTTCTCCAAGTAAGTGTGGGTGTGTCCTGCTGGCCCCAGACCCTCCTTGGGTCCTGTCTTACCTGACCGTCTGTCCCATCCCCCACCCCCACCCCCAGGTCCAATGCCTTAGACACCTGGGACGCCACTTATTTCAAGCGCTGTCGCTACGACTCACGCTACAGCCCTTACTGCCCTGTGTTCCGCATTGGGGATCTCGTGGCTGCAGCTGGAGGGGTCTTTGAGGACCTGGCATTGCTGGTGGGTCCATGGGGGGAAGAGTTCCAGGAAGGCTCGGGGAGAGGGTCCCGGGGCCTGCGTGCTGGTGAAGCAGCGAGCAATGTGCTGTGTGCAGGGAGGTGCTGTGGGCGTCCGAGTCCACTGGGATTGTGACCTGGATGCTGGGGGCTCCGACTGTCGGCCCCACTATTCCTTCCAGCTGCAGGAGAGGAGCTACAACTTCAGGTGCGGCCCCTACTGCCCTCCTGCTGTTCCTTAGCCAGGTCCCCCCACTGTCCTGTGGCAACCAGGACTGGCCACACCCTGGCCCAGCTCTCTGGAGATTCCATTGTGTGTGTGAGGAGGGCCCCAGGGGCAGGAGGGGTGTCCTAAGCTCTGGTCCCCCAGCACAGGCTCTGTCCAGCCTCCCTCCTGATCCCATCCCCCTTCTGTTCCCTGGGACTCCTCAACCCCCCAGCCCCTCTCCCACCCCACCCTGCCTCTAGCACCTCCCTCCTCGGCTGGCGGCGGGGGGGGGGTTCTTTTTTACTTTTCCCTTAGGTCTTATCTCAACAATGTCAAAAACCTACATAAAAATGCAAAGCCATATACCCTCTATCTGGGTTCACTAGGGTTTTTTTGGTTTGGGTTTTATTTTTTATCATTTTGCCACATTTGCTTTCTCTCTCCCTCTCTAGAACGAGCTGGATATAGTTAGATAGATTTCAAAGGGAAGCATTTTAGAGTAAGTGGCAGACATCTGACACTCTTCCTCTCAACACTGTCCTGAGAATGAGGACCTTACCCACGTGACCACGGTACCACAGTCACACTCAATACATTTAACATTGGCAGAGTAAATCGAATATTTACTCTGAATTTCTCCAACCATGCCAATAATAGTCCTTTATCTTTTTATTTTCTGATCCAGGATGCTTTCAGGGATCTTGTGTTGCATTTATTGTCATGTCTTTGAGTCTCCTAAACAGGTCTCCCTCAACCTGCCGGGAATCCTTGTCACTTCCTGTCACCTGGTCATTGTCACACATACGCGCACACAGCCCCCAGGCCTAGAGACCATGTCCCTTGACATTGCTCACTGGGCTTTTCCTGGCCTGGCTTCCTTGACCTCCCCGGCCCTTTGCAATGATGAGGGGCTGGCTCCCTACCCACATTCTGCTTCCTGCACCTCTGTGCTCTTACCTGTCCTACTTTCTCTGTCTAGAACACTCCTTCCTGACCCCTGGAAGACCAGCCTCAAAGTATCCCTTGTAGAAAGCCTTTCCCACCCAGTTTCTAGGGGTAGTGAGTTCCCCCTCGCCCTTTGGACTCACACAGCCCAGATCTTGCCTCCCTACCTGCCCCCTCCCCCAGTAATAGTGTCTATGTAGGGATCCTGCTGTCCCCTCTGTCCCCTCAGCAGGCAGGGAGCTTCTACGGGGCAGGTCCCAGGTTGCCTTTTCCCTGGGTCCTCAGCAATGGCACAGGGGGAGACAGCTGGGGATGGGGGTTTTTAGAATCAATGGATGGGTAAGAAGGAGGCCTGGGAGGACCAGCCCAGCCCAGGAGTGGCAGCAGAGCAAGCCACCAGACTTTCCTACCCTCAGGACAGCCACTCACTGGTGGAAAGCCTCAGGTGTGGAGGCTCGGAGTCTGCTCAAGCTCTATGGGATCCGCTTCGACATCCTTGTCACTGGGCAGGTAGGAGGTGTTGGGTGAAGGCAATGGGTGGTAGGAGTAGGAGGGGGAGACGGTCATAGCTCTAGAGGCTCAGCCCAGGTCGGTCTCAGGCAGGGAAGTTCGGCCTCATCCCCACGACCATCACTCTGGGCACCGGAGCAGCTTGGCTGGGTGTGGTGAGTCTGACTAACGTGGGCTCCCTTTGGTTGCAACTGCGTGCCCAGGCCTGCCCGAGTGCATACCTGAGCCCCACCCCCCGCCCCCCACTCCTCTCCCGTGCATAACGTTGTCTTGTGGTGAGGGCCGGGGAGGTGGTAGAAGGGCAAGTTGAGGGCCAGGGCACAGGTCTGCCCTGCCTTTCCCAGATCACCTTCTTCTGTGATCTGCTGCTGTTGTATGTGGACGAAGAAGCCCATTTCTACTGGAGGACCAAGTATGAGGAGGTGAGCCACGGACCCGTCCAGATCCTTGGGTTCTGTTACACTTTGGAGGATGTTGGTCAGAGCCCTGATATGATGTTCTCATTTGCAGGCAAAGGCTCCGAAGGTGACCACCAACCCCGAGCAGACAGAACCAGCTTCTGCACCCCCGTGCATGGCTGCCCAGGTGTCTTAGAGGGGACCCAGTCTGGGAGCCAGACACCGACACCAGAGTGACCGTGCCAAGGCTCCGGTCTCCCACTCACTGGCCTGTTCCTGAGGCCTGCAGCTGTTCCCCGCTGGTTGTGGGGTGGGGGTGGGGGCCCACCTTGGGGACCTCCTGGGCAAAGCCCCAGCAGGAGCAGGTATGGGGGAGGGGAGAATTCCACCCTCCTACTCCCAGACAGACTGTCTCTCCCCTGACTCCAGCTCTAGCAGGATGCTGCCTGGGGGAGCCAGAGAAGCCAGTTTCGTATAGAGACCTGCAGCAGAACAGGAGCCACAGAGAAGGGGAGCCCCTGGGATACCCACATGACAGGGCAATGGTCCAGTGGGGCTCCTGCTGTGTCTAGGTCTAAAGAACTCTCTCCCAGCCTCCATCACCAGTGTTTTCAGAGGTGGCCTACTCACCAGCTGTCAGCACTGACCCTCCCACTGGCAATGGCGGACTCCGGCCCTCCTCCCCCTACCTACACCCCATCTTAGGTAGAACCCCTCCCTCTCAGCTGTGCCCCGCTGGGGTCTGTGCAACTGGAGTCTAAAGCAAGGTAGAAAGAAGCCTGACAAGAGGGGTCAGCTGCTCCCATGTTGGGTTGCCTGAGGTGGGCTCCTACCCAACTCTGGGCCTCATCCATGGAATGAGGGGTGTGTAGGAAGTTAATCCAACCCCCTGGCACCCCAGGCAAGGGCACAGGCACCCTTTGGTCTCACACCTGCCCAGCTTATGAGCATCAGCTCCTTCTTGGTAGTAGCCCTTGGGGTGTGGAGGGTTGGGATGGGGAGGAGAAGGTGAAGAGGTTGAGTTAGTGGTCACTGGATCCTTTGGGATCTTCTATACGCCTCCTCATTAACCCCCCAGCCCTGGAACCTGCTCACTGGAGCCATGGGGTTAGGGAAGCTGTCCATCTGCTACCCAAGGTTATATCTAAGAACCTGTCAGGGCATCTGCACGTCCCAAAGGACACAAAGACCCCCAGCGGGCTGGCCTGGTATCTTTCAGGGTCTGAGTCCTGCCTGCTGGAGAAATCCCCCACCCCCCACAGCCCCATATCAGTAGGGGAGGAACAAGGGCTGTAGGAGCCAAACTCCTTCCTGCTCCCAGGGCAGAGGCAAGGATTTCGGAGTACCCACCCCAGGGAGGCAAGGGGCTTCTTTCTCATGGGTCCCTGGTGACCAGGGGTGTGCTGGCAGTTTGGCGGTGGAGCAACAAAGGCCAGCTGGGGAAGACCAGGGCTGGCGCTCAGGCTGAACTAGCATCTGGGAGGCACCTGGAGCCCCAGCAAAGCCTCAGGGTCTCTGCTGCTTCTCAGTCCCCAGAGCAACGTCCATGGGGAGGCAGGTTCAGAAGAGCCAGGGTGAGAGAACGTGGCTCTGAGGTGTGGTCATTGGAGTTGGGGTCACATGTACCTGGTTGTCCTCAGGGCCCAACGAAAGCTGTCATAGCTGCAGAAAGTCAAGAGTAAAGCCTGCCAAAACCAGCAGTTTCCTGTGTAGTCCTTATATGCAGGAATGGGTAGTTGAAAGCAGTGGTAGGGGGCAGGGAGGGCCTGATGACCCCCCCAAGGACTGGAGCCTCACAGCCACCAGTTGGACTCAAAGGTACTTGGAGCAGGCCCGGGTATTTTGCATCCGTATACAGGGAGCGTATATCATACACGTGTGTAGCCTTTCTCTCAAAGCCCTTGAGGAAAGAGGTGGGGAGAGAGGATGAGTGCCAGCTGTGACAGCTGGAAAGCTGTGGCCAGGCTTGAGCTGGAAACAGCTGTTGCCTCAGTCTGCATGTGGGTGTGAACTACCAGGGTAGCCATGTGGGCCAGGTGGGCACATGCTTAAGAGTCACGTGTGCCAATGCAGTGTACCTCTACATCTCTGGGGACTACATTTCCTGGAAACCCTGGGAACCCACGAGGGGCCTGGAACTCCACTGCCCTTTCTAGGTGGCCTTTTTTGGGACCCAGGCTCTGCTCTCTGGATCTGCCCCCCAACCAGGGGACATGTGGGGAGCCTGTGCAGGGGAGCCTGACTCTGCCCTTTTCATGGATCCCTCCTCTCATGGTGTGTGCGGGGGTGTATGCAGCTTCCCTCTGAGCTCGGCAAAGGGCACCGGCCTGAGGGCAGGACCCCAGGACTCAGGCTCGGTGGTGTCCCTGACCACAGCTGGTGCCCCCCTCTTGCCAAATTTTGGCATCTTTGCTATGGATTGGGAACAATCACCTGGTTCCTGGGGGCAGGAGAGGACTCAGTGACACAAAGAATGCAATGGTGGACACAGCAGCCATGTGGCTGGCCAAGAGGTTATTATTATGGCTATCTGGGGTTGCAGGCTTCCTCCCCACCCACCCTAACCCACCCCACCTGCCCAAGTAACTGGAGTTGTTCATGAACAGTAAGGCTCTGGGCAAAATGTTCCCCACACCAGCACTGGCCATGGCCCACTCCCCAAAACCCAAAGCTAGGCACTTGGGCTAAGGCTTTAAGGTCTGGGGGACCCCTCAGCATGGGCAGGCCTGCAAACCTGAGCTGGCTCAGACAGAAGGGACTCCCAGCTCCTCAGGGCTCCTGAGGAGGTGGGGTGAGGGCAGAGCAAGCATGGGCGGGCCTCCAGCTCGATTCACGGACTGGTGGGCTACTCCGTGGGGCTGGACTCCTGGGAGGGCAGCTGGCTGGGGGGCTGCACAGTCTGTACCGTCTCCTCCAGGTTGGTGCTGGGGAACACCACGTAGCGTGTGGTGGTCAGCTCTGGCAACTCCCGCTGATTCTCTTTGCTGTGCCAGATGCCATAGCCAAAATACACGGCGAGCCCTGCAGGAGTTGTGGGAGACTGAAGGGCAGGTCCCGGCCCTGCTTGCCCTCCTTGCCTTCTTCCTGCAGCCCACCCAGGGCCCCAAGCCTGGCCCCCACTCACCGATCAGCAGCCAGATGGAGAAGCGCAGCCAAGTCAGGTAGCTTAGCTTCAGCATGAGGCAGATGTTGAGGAGGATACTCAGGGCTGGAGTCAGGGGCACCATGGGGATCTGAGGGGGAAGAGCAGGGCTGGGCTGGGCTGCAGAGAAGGTCTGCTGGCTCAGGGCCCGATTCCTCAAGAGTCCACAGAGCTGTTCTCCACCTCTGGAGATTCTGGAAACAAGCGCCCACTTGCCATGCAGAAAGAGAGGGAGATGGGCATACTGGCCTCCCCAACCCTGTGAGCCCTGATTCATCCTGCTACAGTAGAGGAGGAAGGGGCAAAGAGAGCTAGCTTGGCTGACGGCCAGTGGGGATTGGCTGGGGAAGGTACCTGGAAGGTGTCTTGCTGGCGCCGTTGCTGGTGGGCCCCCAGGATGAGGAGGCTGAACAGAAACATGACAGAGCTGAGCAGGAGCAGCAGGATGTAGCCCCCGTATGGGAGGTGCAGGGCTGAGTCCCCGAAGACCAGTACACAGGCCAGGGTGATGGCCGAGGCCACCAGGATGCCGAGGGCCCAAGCCACAGCAGCTCCAGGGCGGTACCTACCTAGAAAGCCCAGGTAGGGCCTTAGGGCTGGCCGCAGCTGCCCAGGCTCGGGGGCTAAGTCCTGCTCGGTGCCCACCAGCTGTATGTGGTCCGAGAAAGAATGGTACTCTTTGACGCTGGGGTCAGGGCTGGCTGGGCCTGAGGAACTGGACGGAGGGGTCCTCTGGAAGCGTAGCACAATAATGCTGGTGGCCACGAAGGTGTAGGCCAGCAGTGTGCCAATGGACAGGAACTGGACCAATGCCTCCAGATCCAGCAGCAGTGCCAGGCAAGTCATGAGGCCCCCGAACACAAGGATGCCAGCCATGGGCACCTGCGTCCGGGGGTGCACTTGGGCAAACACCTGGAAGAAGAGCCCATCGACGGCCATGGCATAGACGATGCGTGGCAGGGAGAAGAGACTGCTGAGCAGGACAGTGTTCATGGCTGTGGCAGAGGGTGGGGGACTGGTCAGCATGGTGACAGGCCTACCAGGGGCCTCTTCTGCGAGCCAGGGCATGCCCAACCCCTTGGGAGCACGGGCATGCGTTTGTCTGGGATCTCAAGGTGAGCCTGAGGGCTTACTCCCCACCTCCCCCCCACCAGAAATGGACACCTTAGTTTAGGTGACAGGTCCGTCAGAGAATCTGATGAGGACTAAGTCCTTCTCCCAGGAAAGGACCTGAAAGCACATGCTCAGAACCAACATCTAATGTACAATTAGGAGGGGACAGTGGGTAGATCCCTCTCAACAAGCCTAGGTGGAGAGTCTAATAATTAGCAACTTCCTGGGCCCAATATGCAACCAGTAACAGACCCAGATGGAGATGTGATCCCTGGGAAGCTTAGGGCAGGGCCCCACTGCCCCGGTCACTTCCACCGTGCCTGAATGGCCCCTTACCGCAGATGGAGCCAGCTGCCACAATGAAGCCAGCCCAGCTATATCCCCGCCGGTAGAAGGCATCAGCGAGTGCGGAGTCAGGGTCCAGGCTGTGCCAAGGCACCATGAGGGTGAGCACGGTGGAGACAAGAATGTAGGCGCCAGCTGCCAGGCCAAGTGAGATGGTAATGGCTACAGGCACAGCTTGCTTTGGGTTTCTGGCCTCCTCACTGGAGGCAGCAATGACATCAAAGCCCACAAAGGCATAGAAGCAGGTGGCGGTGCCAGCCATGATGCCAGAGAAGCCAAAAGGTGCAAAGCCACCCTCCTCAGCACTCCAGTTGTGTGGGCGGGCCAGGATAAATCCCAAGATGATGATAAAGAGGATGATGACGAGGCTGACAACAGAGAATGTGTGGTTGAGCCAGGAGGAAACCCGGGCTCCGCAGGAGATGAAGACAGAGGCCAAAATTATAATGCCAGCAGCCAGGAAGTCTGGGTAGTGGGCCAGCAAGGGCACCTGCCAGGTTCCAACATAGGCCTCAGTGAAGTTGTGGATGCGGTGGTTGAACATGGCATCCAGGTAGCCACTCCAGGCACGGGCCACAGCTGCACCACCAATGAGG